GCACTCGAAGAAGAATAGTATTTTGTTTATTTATAGAGTAGCCCAACCACCAACCCATGGCCAAGGGATGTGGAGGACAGGAATTTGGCTTGATGGTCAGGGGAATGATATCCCTCTGGTCCTGGCTGGTATGAGAAATGGCGGTACCTCTTCCTCCCACCGTGACAGCCTTGTGCATGACCTGAGTTTGGGCAGAGCTCAGGGGCCCTTAGTTCCCCACAAAGATACTTTAGTGGCCCCCATACAGCTCACATCTTGAGGATATTAAAGAAATTAAGGAGTCATGGATGAAAATCATGATCCATAATTGTTCTGTCTCAGACAAACTACTGAGTAACAGTGGGTCAATTTTCAACCTGGAAAACGGTTAAACCGTGAGGTGCCACAAGGTTCTATATTACGTCCAAGATTGCTTAATGTGTTTTTATGAAATATCTGAAACACAAGAGGAACAGTAAAATGGCAAAATAGGTAGATGACAAAATAAATCCCGGTGAAAGGCGACTGTGGTGCTTCAGAAGAAGCAAACAGATGGGCAACACAATGCCAGATAAAATTCAGTGTTGACAAATGCAAGGTAATATATATATTGAAAGTAATAATCTGAACTACTCATACACCTTACTTCAAATAACTACTCAGGAATAGCTCTTCCTGCGGGTAGGTTATTCCATACTTGCCCACTTCGGGGTTTCTTGCATGTTTTTCAGACAAATCTGGTACTGGCCCCTGTTGGAGTCAGGTTACTGGACTAGGTGGATCACTAGCCTGGTCCATTATTGCAATTTTTATGCTCTTAACTGAGAGCAAAATTAGAAGACAAAGGCTTTCCACAAGCAACTTTGCAACTGGAACTAGGTTAAAAATTCTGTTGATATGTAAGTCAAAACAGAACCCTGCCTTCGCAGCCAGTATTAGATGTTCTAGAAGTGTTCTCAAAGAGCCATAACACACACTCCCTTCAGACTGTTTCAACATCACTATGCCCCCACAGTATTTAGAAACATCACCCTTGACTTGGCTAGCCAAACAGGAAAAAGTACAAAGCATGTAATCTGGCACCTCCAGCAGTAATAATAGATGTTCATTCATGAGAAGCCTTATTCCCTCTCCCCCACAATCTTCTGCTTTCTAAGCAACCCCCTTTTAGTCAGCAACCACCACCTGAAATCTGATGGAATGCAAAGCTTTATGTTCAATTTTTCATTGGCAAAACAAATACAGACACCTGGTTTCCTTTAACAAGGGGGAGAGAAAGTAATGGAATGTGAGGAAAGCTACAGGAACTTAAATGAACTTTTGAAGTGCAAACAAATATGTAAAAATGTGAACACCACCACTGAATAAGAATACATTAACCACTGATGGAATTGGGAATGGTTTCCCCAAAAACTCACCTGTCAAGTAGAGTGTAAAAGATATAAACCTGTGGTAGCGAATTAGGAATTGAAGTTGCTCTCTTCTCTGAACAAACGTAGCGAAGTAATCTGCCACTGTCTCTCCATAGAAAAAATAGTTCACACACAACAAAAAGTACCTATAACATATACAACAGGTACTGGTTATTTTTTCTGGACTATTAAAATCTCTCTCCTGTACTGTTAGATTCTTTCAACAAAAGAAAAATCATCAAAAAGTACAAATTGAGGCAAATAAAACAGATGCTAATGGGCAAATTAAATGCAAACAAAATTTCAATACTTCCACTGATTGAAATTCTTGCTTGTTACTTACCAGCTTAAGGTTCTAAACCATGGTAATTCATAGGAATGATAGACTCTGTAGCCTATAGTAATGATTTCATGGAAACACTTTACTTGAATGCTCAAGACCTGAAATTAAGATAGAAAGAATTATTATCTAAGTGCACAGTTCTCTAAAGGCACTAACAGATATTAATACCTGCATTCAAAATGTCTGTTGCACAGTCATTGCATAAGCGGTTTGGATAATTTCAAAAGGGATTACAGGATGAAACAAACATTCTGTTTTCAACAAATAAAAAATCTGAGGCATTCTATACAATGAAACACTGGGGACCGATTTTAGTTGTTTTACCATGAAACCTACTGAGACTATCAACATTTTTAGGAAAAAGGTTTGATAAATGCACTCACAAATGGCAAGTAAGAAGCCTTTCTTGATGAATAGGGTTTTCAACCCCCCTTTTCTTTTTTAAACCAAATTTAATTTTGCATTTAAGGGAGAGATTTTCAAAGGCTCAGAAAAAAGTGTAGGTGCCCATTTCCCACTGAAGAGCAACAGGAGTTGGACATCTGTGTCTAAACTACACAGTTAACATGGGTTAGCCTAGCTCACATGCTAGCATCCCCATTGCAAAGCCCTATCAGAGTTACTTCTGTGTCCTCACTGTCTCTGCATCCACCCATGTGTGTCTGGGGGCATATCTTCTTTATGCAGAGGGACCTAGGGTCACTGTTTTTCCCAGTCAATTGCATCAGTTGCAGGAGACCTTCTCTGTCCTATAGGAAGAATCGCAGGAAGACACTGGAGGACTATCAGCACTTCAGTGATTTAGCCTGTGTACTCACTGCAAAGTAGGAGAGTTCCAGCCAGAGTTAAAGCGGATCCCGGTTGTAACCCATACCCCAACCAGATAAGCTAGCCTGGGCTTAAAGCACCTCCAAACCCAGATCAGAGTTTTTTCTATGTAGATAGCAGGGAGGCTAAGGCTAAAACCAGGGAAAGAGTCTAAGTGTGCCATGTAGACATTTGTGCAGTGTAGACATACCCTACATTTCTAGGATTTTCCGGCTACTAAGAGAACATTACAAGCTGAACAGATCAGCGCTGTCTTCCTGAATGTGTAAACATACACCTTTGTTTACACTTGGGAAAAGCATAAATTGATAATACAAATATGACATTTTAATGAATACCACGTTAAACAATTATGTCTTAGTGTGGACAACACTCATTTAAAGTGTGTTAGCTGGTCATTGCTAACATTTGTTGTCATATTTAACATTGTATTTAACATAATGATAGTTCAAACACGTTAACAAACATATTACTTTTTCACAGTATAACCAGGACCTCAATGTTGTCCCTCTAAACTTTTAAATATTTAGATACCAGTCCTCACAAACCCTCCATGCACTTTAAGCTCTACTAAGCAGGTAAATTTTTTACCTCAGAGCCCCGTCGAGATTTAAACATTTCTCTCCCTCCTCTGTTGGAAATAAAATTGTCAGTCTTTCCACTGCATGAGCCATTTTTCTTTATAAAACAGGTGCTAGAATATGTCGTCAATCAAATGTAGTATCTCTAGATACTTTATAATATTGTCAAAAGATCTGAGCCTTGAAACTTCTGTTGTGTGGTGTAACATGGGACTAAGTTTATACTGTTACTTTTTGCTTCAAGGCTTGACAGTTAAGGTTGTGTCATGCATGCCTCAAAAGGTAAATATACCAAACCATGTGGCAAAACAAACAGTTATTTTTCCTTCCTCATTACAACCCTACCAGCATAGAGCGTGAACACTCAAAGGAAGAAATCAACACGTATGCAAAGATACTACTATACTCAAAGTAGTTATTACAAGAAAGAAACTCCATTCATTAAAAGAATGAATTACAGCATTTACAGATCCTCTTTCCTAGAAACTAGAGGAAAAACAGTATCTACAAGATGTAAATATAGGATATGATAATACTAATTAAAAAAGGATTCAAATGGCTCACTGCATGTCACACCTTCCATAGATGTTTCAAAATAGGGTTCCCCCATGACCTATCTGGGCAGCTAGAGACATTTATTTAGGGTCAAATTCAAAAGAACTAATGGGTACAATTATTACCCCATTTCAATTGTTCAAAATGATGTATCAGACTATTACGTCTCAAGGTTGGAAAAGTTATATTTACCAATTTTTTCTAATGAATAATTTTTGTATCATATCGGGGGGGAGGGATAACTTAGTGGTTTGAGCATTGGCCTGCTAAACCCAGGGTTGAGAGTTCAATCCTTGAGGGGGCCACTTAGGGATCTGGGGCAAAAATCAGTACTTGGTCCTGCTAGTGAAGGCAGAGGGCTGGACTCGATGACCTTTCAAGGTCCCTTCCAGTTCTAGGAGATAGGATATCTCCTTTATTTATGTATTTTATTTTATTTAAAAAACTGAAACACATATATCCTGTTAAAGACTGTAGATAATTTGAAAGTTGAATATTTACATAGGGAAGTTGTCATTTGAACTATTAAATATCACTTTTAAACATTTGCCTGTAAGAGTACATAAGGCTCCTGCAACCAGATCCATTTTTACTATCAGGTAAATTAAAGATGATTTTCAACAGATCACAGATAATTGCACTGTGTTAAAAATGCCATAAACTGCTGGAACATTGTCTATACTTGGGATACAGTGGTGCCAACACCCGGGTTAATTTCTTCAAAAGTTCATAGTATAGGATTTCAAGTGCATGCATCTCCAGGCTCTGTTATACACATTCCAAAAAAACCACATTCCTCATGGACCCCCCCCCAAAAAAACTAATAGATAGCCACTGAGCATTATTTGTTTTCTTCCACTGTAAAGTAGAAAATTTCTTCTGACCAAAAACATTAGAATATTTGGATTCATTACTGATATACATGGAACTTTTATTTTTTATTTTCCAGGCTTACTAAAAGTTGTTTAAAAGAAAACTGTAGCTTTGGTGGTGAGAGGAGGGGGTTTTGAAAGACATTTTCCAAAGAGTTTTGTGGCATGACTGCTCAACCTAAATTGAGTTTGATAAGACAGAAAAGAAGCACTCAGTGTCTACTGCTTTATTGCAAAGTTGTATAGGAAACTGATACAACTTTGAGTAAGACTAGGCATGTTTCAAAGCTAAAGTAAAATGTATTTGTTTATATTAGGGGTGACTGTCATAACAGGCACACAGGCATGCCATGCCTATATAAAGAACTCTCTCAGGAGGCCCCACACCTGATACTTCAAAAGAAAGTGAAAACCCATCACACACCTAACCAATTGTACAATGCTGTACAAATAGGAAAAAAAATTCCATGAGGGACAACTCTATGACCTGCATCAATAGATAATGAGCGAGTGTGTAGAGAAACAAAAAGGTTCATTGGTACACGGAGCAAAGTTTTACCTGAATGATAATGGAGAAGAGAAAGATATTGGAAGTAAGAGATCAATGAAAACACTAACTTAACCACCCTGTTTTAGAAACTGATCCAACGCATTCTGCATTTTATAAAGTTTGGCAACTAACAGTTGTTAGAAAAAAGTTACTAACACAAGAAAAGCAAGCTTCCAAGTAAAATGATATTCAAACACACTGAAAACCAGTTAGGGTTGTTAAGGGACAATAATTAAAAAAACAACAACCCCAAACCCAAAATACAATGTAAAACTATATATCTGCATAGATCAAAATCTCACCCACCTCCTCAGAAAGACCCTCAAATACATATTGTACATTCTCCTAGTGTGTCAACCCTACTCAACCACAGTTACCTACGTGACATCCCAAGTAAATCTCTGATTTTTCAATAGAAGTTGAGGTAAGCCAACTCTGAGCCTGAAAATCCCACATGTTGATCTAAAGTAGTTCATTATCAAGAATGTTTCAGACACTCTCAACATACAAATCCTTTAGAACTCTAAGTAGTCGTGGTATGAAAAAGAAATTTCTACATGCAAATAACTGAAATTGCACTGAGATATCAAAGCTTCCTTCAGTTTCTAAAGACACTTACTCGACACATGCCAACAGTCTGGCTCATTGGTGCCCTTAGCAGACCTTCAGTAGCTGTACCACATATAAAAGTTTGAGACTGCTATTGCCTGCAAGCTAATGGATCTGTTCCTTTAGCTCAAGCTGTAGGGGCCCATGCTTTTAGACCCCAATGTACTGGGTTAAAGATGACCCATGGACATTGTTACATATTTCCTGAAGAATAGTTAACAAAACTTAACCTTACAATAAGGCAGCTTTGAGAGGAGGACTAAACTGGGGGCACAATTCTCAACAGATAAGACTTAAAATCTCAAGAACTGAAGAGATACCACTTGCTGGTGAATCAGACCTTGATTTCAGGTAGCATCTTTAAATATCTAACCTTTCATACACAGCTGTCAAGGTTCTCTCCAAACTACTAACAACTGTTTATAAGTGACAGTGGTATTGTCCAGATGCACTTACAGCTGCTCTTGCAGCCATAGTAGAATATTTCAGGGATGTCTGACATAAAATAAATGAAAGGGAGTGGCAGGTAGAAGACACTCTAAGGTGAAAGAAAATGTAAAATCTATTCTAAAAATATATTATGCACAACAATTAAAAAGATGCTGGATGCCTACAAGAGAAAAGAAGGACAGGAAGAAATATAATATGAATGGTTAAAACAGAGCAACAGACTGAGGGCATGATACAATGGGAGACGAGAAAAACATTATCAGTTGGATTCTCTCTCAGCTGAGCCAAGTCCAAACTTGGTGCAGTTGAGGAGAGCTAAGAGGAAAGGTGGTTTTAATCCACCTTCTCATTTCTCTGACCTGGGGCCAAAATGTCTCCCGGCATAATTTAGAACAAACTAGGGGAGCTGCTTTAGACAATGCCAGCCACAACCACCCACCGAGACTACTGTAACAGTCCAGGATCCGCACTTTGCCATCAGCACATCCCTTACAAAGCGTAGAAAGGGTAATCACAAATGCAACTTTTAGGATGGCTAGTATGACTATTTGCACTGCTAAGGAAGCAAAAACTCAGCCTTAATTCAGGCCAAGAATATAGCTCTCTACAAAAAATTATTTCAAAAACTGCATGAATATACAATCCATTGATTATACCCATTGTATATATTCTATAAGGAGAAAAAAATGTGTTAGTGGAGTTATAAAGTCAAAACTCTGAGAAGTCAGAAATACCTAATTTAGGTTGAAGGCTCATCCTTAATCCTACCTGTTTGCACACATGACTTAAAATATGCTCTGCATATGGAGCAATGGCAGTCACACCATAAATAAAGTTGCAAGTGAGTTTGTTATGATCCTGATACTGATCTCCCTATAACCTAAAGTATGTTACATCTGAGGCAACAGTGAACTTTTTCTAGAAAATCTGAAGTGATTTGAACCAACAGTTTAACATCTCTTTTTAGGGAGTCATAATTAATAAACATATTTCCACAAATCTAATTATTTTAGCACTTCACGGAAAAAAAATGAACCAGATAAATACTTTTTTGAACTATCCTAGCTGAGACAGTGTCAAGGAACAAAAATCAGTTCATTAAAGTCAGATTTCAAAGTTAATGTTTTCTTTAGGGTTGTCAGCTCTGGCAAGCTTAGTATAGGACATCCAATGACTGCTGAAAATCAGGCCACTATGTATGGAAAGATGGGAAATCAAATCATGTCAAAGGAGGGCTGAGAATGATCTATAAATTTTAGAAGTGGAAATTTACTGTAATAGTTTCAGTCCCATTTTCAAGGATCTCTACAGCAAAAAGGATAAATAAAAGAAGTCTTGAAATGTACGGTACATAAAAGTACTAACAAAGCCAGCAGCCCCTAAAAGCCATGTGTGAATGTTAATCCTGTACCTTTCACAAGTACTAATTCACTTAAATACAAGGTAAATTGCTCACCAACTTAAAAGTTCTATATAATTTGCCTTCATATTCATTCCTGACACAGGAAAATGTGTTTAGAAAAACTTACAAGAAGCATCAGCATAAATGATCCAAGATATATGATCAGGAAAAATAACGATATCATAGCGAATGTTAAAATTCCACGAATCCACCAGTTTTTCCATCTACAAAGAAAACATATTAGGACAATTAAAGAAAACAGTACAGTTAACAGTCTCTCCATAGTAATAGATACCATTTATAGTATTTCCTTTAGTAACTGAACATTTAACAAGGCAATTTACAAATTGTGGCAACATGGGTAGCATGCTTACTGCTACAAGCTTTGAAGTGGTGCAGCATATGCTCCTCTTCGCAGAAGCCAGCTCTTGTTGGGTGATGTAGAAGGTACCCGAGGTAATAACCCTGTCCCTTTTGTGGAGTGGCTAGCACCACACACAGATGCACTAGTAGGGAGCAACCCTGTGCTCATCTGAGCACTAGGACAGCCCTGACATATATGCATGTGGGAGGAGATGGGATAGGCTATTTCTACCCTTCTCCTATTGCACATCCATACTGGATCTGGCCACAATCTGGTCCATAAGGGGAAAGCTGCTGTTAGCATATAAACATTTTTCTCCAAACCTAAGATTCTTTTCTTAAAGGGGATTCAAACGGACTGGTCTAAAAAAAAAAACAAAAATCAAGACTGCTTTTCATACAATTGTTCAGCAACTGGATTTAAAAACTACCATATATACTCGTTCATTAGCCCATTCGTTTATAAGCCAACCCCGCAAGATGGTTAGGTAAAAATAGCAAAAAACTGTAAGACCCTTTCATAAGCCGATCCTATATTTCAGGGGTTGGCAAACTTTGGCTCCTGGCCCATTAGGGTAAGCCGCTAGCGGGCCCGGACGTTTTGTTTACCTGGAGCATTCACAGGCACTGAGCCCCTCAGCTCCCAGTGTCCGCAGTTTGCCATTCCCAGCCAATGGGAGCTGAGGGGCGTCTGTGCCTGCAGGCGCTCCAGGTAACAAA